CTCTTCAGGGATCTGCTTGGTAGAGTACCATGGGATAAAGCCCTGGAGGGAAGAGGGGCCCAAGAAAGGTGGTTAATATTCAAGGATCACCTCCTCCAAGCTCAGGAGCGATGCATCCCAACAAAGACGATGCATCAGGCAAAGACACCAGGAGGCCTGCATGGATGAACAAGGAGCTCCTGGACAAACTCAGAAACAAAAATGAAGCCTACAGAGGGTGGAAGCAAGGACAGGTAGCCTGGGAGGAATACAGAGAAATTGTCCAAGCAGCCAGGGATCAGGTTAGGAAAGCTAAAGCCCTGATAGAATTCAGTCTGACCAGGGATGTCAAGGGCAACAAGAAAAGTTCTATAGGTACATTAGTGATAAAAGGAAGATGAGGAAAAATGTGGGCCCTCTCCAGAAGGAAATGGGAGACCTGGTTACCCAGGATATGGAGAAGGCTGAGGTACTCAATGACTTTTTTGCCTCAGTCTTCACCGGCAAGTGCTCTAGCCACACTGCCCAAGTCACAGAATGTAAAGGTAGGGACTGGGAGAATGAAGAACCACCCACTGTAGGAGAAGATCAGGTTCGAGACCATCTAAGGAACCTGAAGGTGCACGAGTCCATGGGACCTGATGAGATGCACCTGTGGGTCCTGAGGGAACTGGCGGATGAAGTTGCTAAGCCGCTATCCATCATATTTGAGAAGTCGTGGCAGTACGGTGAAGTTCCCGCTGACTGGAAAAGGGGAAACATAACGCCCATTTTTAAAAAGGGAAAAAAGGGAGACCCGGGGAACTACAGGCCAGTCAGTCTCACCTATGTGCCCGGAAAGATCATGCAGCAGATCCTCCTGGAAACTACGCTAAGGCACATGGTAAATTGTGCCTGACAAATTTGGTGGCCTTCTATGATGGGGTTACAGTGTTGGTGGATAAGGGAAGAGTAACCGATGCCATCTACCTGGACTTGTGCAAAGCACTTGATGCTGTTCTGCATGACATCTTTGTCTCTAAATTGGAGAAACGTGGATTTGACAGATGGACCACTCAGTGGATAAGGAATTGGCTGGATGGTCACACTCAAAGAGTTGTGGTCAATGGCTCAATATCCAAGTGAAGATCAGTGATGAGTGGCGTTCCTCAGGGGTCGGTACTGGGACCAGTGCTGTTTAACATCTTTGTTGGTGACATGGACAGTGGGATTGAGTGTACCCTCAGCAAGTTTGCCAGCCACACGAAGCTGTGTGGTGCGGTCGACACACTGAAGGGAAGGGGTGCCATCCAGAGACACTTGACAGGCTGGAGAGGTGGGCCTGTGCGAACCTCATGAAGTTCAACAAGGCCAAATGCAAGGTCCTGCACATGGGTCAGGGAAATCCCAAGCACAAATACAGGCTAGGGAGAATGGAATGAGAGCAGCTCTGAGGAGAAGGACTTGGGGGTATTGGTTGATGAGAAACTCAACGTGACCTGGCAATGTTCACTTGAAGTCCAGAAAGCCAACCATATCCTGGGCTGCATCAAAAGAAGCGTGGCCAGCAGGTCGAGGGAAGTGATTCCTCTACTCCACTCTCGTGAGGCCCCACCTGGAGTACTGCGTTCAGTTCTGGGGCCCCAAACATAAGAAGGTCATGGACCTGTTGGAGCGAGTCCAGAGGAGGGTCACGAAGATGATCAGGGGGCTGGAGCACCTCTCCTATGAGGATAGGCTGAGAGAGCTGGGCTTGTTCAGCCTGGAGAAGAGAAGGCTCCAGGGAGACCTTACAGCAGCCTTCCAGTACCTGAAGGGGGCCTAAAGGAAAGCTGGAGAGGGAGTTTTTACAAGGGCATGTAGTGATAGGACAAGGGGTAATGGCTTTAAACCAAAAGAAGGTAGGTTTAGATTGGACATAAGGAAAAAATTGTTTGCAATGAGGGTGGTGAGGCACTGGAACAGGTTGCCTAGAGAAGTTGTGGATGCCTCCTCCCTGGAAATGTTCAAGGTCAGGTTGGATGGGGTTTTGAGCAACCTGGTCTAGTGGCAGATGTCTCTGCCCATGGCAGGGAGGTTGGAACTAGATGATCTTTAAGGTTTCTTCCAACCTAATCCATTCTATCATTTTGTGAATCCTCCTCAAAATCAATCTACCTATGTTCAATGCATAAGAAGGATTTCTTAGTCTGGACTTTATTGTATTTTAATGCCTTCCTATCTTGGCAATTTCCTAATGTTGGAATTTTAAGTTAGAGGAATTTTCTTTTGTTTGTTCGGTTCGATGAAAGTTCAACTATGATCTACTTATCGTAGAATTAAAAAAATATTTCTGTAAAAAATAAATGCCTCAGAGACTTGAATAAGTTCCTACAAAGCTCAGTGTCCCCTGAATAGGATATTAGGGTGTCCTTAATTTCTAGACTTAATTAACTGATATACAGAAAAAAATAGGGTCTAACATTGATTTGGGCTGAGTATATACTTGAGAATCCTCTTGCAATTCCTCAGTCATTTCTCTGACTTTCTAAGCAGGGAAGGAAATCATTAAAACTGAAGAAATGCTTTAATTCTTCACAGTAGATGTTTTGTCATCTTACCTTTTGTGGCCTTCTTCCGGTCTGTTTCTAGCCTCTAACTTTTCCCTGTGGTAAGCAGCGTTCATCTCATTGCGGAGCCGGTCATTTTCCCGGGCAATGTCAGAAGCATTTTGAATGACCAAGGCATCATATATTTTCAATCCCATATCCTCGGCTTTGGCATTCTGCAAGAAGCTTTTGATCGAAGTGACCTCTTGATGTTTGATACTCATCTTCTGTAGCAAGCGCTGGCGAGCTAGAAATCCTCTTACAACTACCATAACAGAAGGAGAAAATATGGACCAATGAAAGACAGCTAATTAATTGGTGAATAACTTAATATTACTGTGTGTTCTGCTGTAAACATAGGCAAATCAAGTTCAGTCAATGTCTTATACAAAGAATGAAAGAAATTTGATGGCATATAAATAACATACTAAAATGGAACTCTTCCTTTTCTGTTTTCTACTGCCAGTGCTTAAAACAAAGTACTGACAGTAAATTCATTCATAAATTTGGGCTATCACAACTCAAAATGTTTACTTTCACTGAACATTATTTTTTATTACATTAAAACTGGAAACTTGGATGTATGCTACAGATTGTGAAAGCATACATTTACACTGGAAAGGTCAAAGGTTCCATATTGTTTCAAAATAAAACCCTGAATACATGATTCTTGCATCGAATACAGTAGGAATTAAATAATTGTTTGGTTTTAGTCAACTCAAAAAAATGCTTTAAATATTTCGGTGTACCTAAAAAAAAATCAAAACCGACACAAGATTTTTTCAATGAGACTTAAAGACCTTTTGTTGCTCATTTCCTTTCAGCAAAAACAATTAGATTAATTTAATGCTAATTTCTCAAATGTATCTGTCACATCATGTCTGCATTTTTCAGTTTAAAATTTTCATCTGCATTGCATCAGCTTTATGTATCTATTAGGCCTATTTTTCACACTCTTTGTCAGCCTTATGTTCGGAGAAGATTTTGGTGTATGATCTCCTACAATAGCTTTCTGCACTACTTTCCTAAGTATGTACATTCACTACAACAAATTCTACCCAACCTATTCTACCCAACCTAAATACCACCTAGTCACCTGAATTTTCAGAAGTACCCAGCTGATCAGAAACACAAGGCACAGGGACCTCCATGGGCATCATGAATTTGACACCAAATTAATCACTCCACCTGCAACAGGGTGGTATTAGTATTCTCTGAGCATATGTTTTGGTTTAGAGGGAAGAGATATGCTAACTAAAGGTGCTTTATTTGTGGGTCTTTTTTGTAAGTTCCACAAGATCCTGATTCTTTCCAGATCTAGAATAACTGCTGCTTACCTCACAGGGAAGATTCTGTTTTAGAATTATTTGCCTGTTGCCTGAAATATTGTTGATTTTCAGTTCATCAACTTACATGTACCAAAAATAGGTCGAACTTCATCATGGTTTATTATGGTTACTCTTATTCTGCTCACTGAAAGTTTTTCATAAGTGAAGTCAGCAGGCAATAGCCTGTATAAGATGTTGGTTTGAGTTTGGGGGAAAATACTGAAAATGTTAATATTAAGACTGGAAGGTAAAAAAATGCTAAAATACATTAGGCCTTTTTAACAATGTAATTAAGTGTCAGTCTTAGGAACACTGCAGAACAACATCAAATCACAAAGAGTCAAGCTGAATTAATCTAAAGGAAAAATGTAAACAGAAAGATACAATTAGTCTTCTATGAATGTAAAATGTTATTAAATGAAATAAACAGCTGAAACAGATGGCAATGTAAAGTATTTTCTACCACCCTATATGTCCTTGTTTAGATATTTAAAATAAGGGGTTTTTTAGAGTTGCTCAGTGCCCAGCTATTGAAACATAAGAAAGGCTAAGGTTAACATACTAATACTGCTCCTATCCAAAATTCACTGGGTTTGGAAACATTCAAGTTCAGGTACTTTTGAGATTATTTATAATGGACAACTTTGAAGGTTTATATTTTTATAATCACAGCCAGCCATGCCATTTTCAATCCGTTTAGCTACATTCTATAAAATCTGGCTTCTTTAAACCCTGAAACATTAATGCACTTACCCAATTTAGTTGAAAAGGGAATTAATAGTAAAGTTATTTGTTGACAGTTTTATAAGAGTATTCACATTGGATGTACAGGTTACTGAGTCTGAATTCATAATGCTGCTGTTGCAAAGGTAATGAATACATGCATAGAACATTATCAGAGTTCACTGCTCACAAGTATGAAAAATTCAAAAGAGCTTAATAATAAAAAATTGTTCCCTCACTTCCAGTACTTTCTTTAAACTTATCTGCTGCAGAGCAGATAGGGTATTTGACAAATGGGTAAGCATCAAATCCTGGATGACTTTGGAAAAAAGCCTGTATTTTAAATTAACATTTTTACAAGTGTGTGTGTGTGTGTGTGTGTATAGGTTGGTAACACCACTAAGGTTGGTTAGGAAAAGGAAATATAGAGGTCAATTCTCTGGTAGGACTGTTAACAGGCATGAACGATGCAGAGTAGCCTGCTAGGTCGGTCCAGTAAAATTATATTCATACAGCTAGCTGTAGCATTTAGAGACTGTACAGCTACTCTGAACTATGCATTTTCACCAAAATTGAGATGTTTTGAAGAAACATTCAACAAGGTTTTTGTCAGGAAGGCTTGGCAGACAGACACCCCTCTTTTGCACACATTTTCATGAACTAAGTAGCTCAGGTTTTCATTAGAAAACGGACATTTCACCGCATTTCCTTCTCTATGAGAACATTTGAGAGATTTTGTCTTCAGTTCAATACAGAGCAAAAAATAACCTCAAAAACTGATGTGAAATGAAATTGTCATCCTTAGACCTTTACTGCTCAGTTGCATCTACTACTGTACGGGTACTAAGATTGTCTTCTGAACTTGCTCCTCGTTTATGTAGATCTAAAATAATTCTCACTTATGAAAATCAAAATAATTGAGGTTAGCACCCTCAGGGCAGAAAAATATCTACTGCTTTACAGTTCACCTAAGGATAAAGATCAAAATAATCAAAATTCAAGTAGACCATGGATCTGGGTTATGCGAGAGATGTATGAACTATTGTGTATACAATGTATTAAAGTTAATTCCTAATCTACATGAGCTCTGATGGGAGAACTTCAGCATCCTGGACTTTCCTACAGGTACAAACAATTTTCTCAGTGATTCAGTAAGGTCAAAACTTCCCATATGTAGTTCTCATATGTGTGAAAAAAATACGACAAAGTCCGTAAATTGACAGATCTGTTTTTAAATAAAAAGTGTTTCTACACATGCTTTTACCTTAGTTTGACTCCTTTCTTTGCCTGCATAAGTTACTTTTCAGGATAACAGAAAAAGACTTATCTGGTTTGGTTTGTTTTGTTTTTCCCAGAATTTATGGGAAAGCTGAAGGGATTGCTAGTAAGAGTGAGGTAAAAACAGCTGATAAGAATTTTGGACAAGACCTCTTTTCCCTTTGAGTCAAGTCATTATATGGGTATATGATAGTACATTTTTAGCCTGACACAGAAATTATTGACTAGTTTTGCTATTAGCCAATACACTATCAAGAGAGATTTATCGTCCAAAGACCACTGGATGCAAAGGATGAAGGGAGAAAAATGTAGATATGCAGCAGGGCTGACACCATTACTCACTAAGCATCACCATCCCAGTGTAAAAGTCTATGGATCCCCATTTTAAGATTACATAAGAACAATGCACAGGTACCCTATCCTATTCCCAACCTGCCAGAGCTCTTTGGCATGCTAGTTCTGCAGGTTTACAATTGTACCTGTTCACAAAGGGCAGCTTATTTCATGAGCTAACATCATGAAATGGATGTCCAGCTACTACTTACACATGCAAGTTCCTGATTTTCTCAGGTTTCCCAGATCATAAAAAAAACATGCAGGTGAGCCATAGCTTTGAAAAAAGCTTTGAACACATAGTTTTGGTAAAAATGACTTTTCAAGTTAGCCTAATTAAGGAGGGCTAGAAGCAAAACCAAAACGAATATTTTTGTAAGGAGCCAAGAAGACCTATTATCTTCAGTCTTTGGGCAGGGTTTGGCAGATGTCTGTTCTCTTACCTCTGCAAAATATGGACATATCTAAGGATGTTTTACATTTTGGTGTAGGGTTATATTAAAGTACTCTGTTTGCAAATTGGACTCTGAAAGGTAAATATTTCCTTTCTTTGATAAGTCAGCATGAGAAGGGAAAGAGGATAAATCACTATCGCTTTTCTAAATATGTGAATACAACAGGGTGATTTGTATAAAATATCAGGCACAAGTTATAAATCCAGCTGAACAGTGGCCTGTGTTAACCATTACTCTCCACATTCGTTCCTGAACTGCTACGATTTTGATTCCACTTGCTTCAAGTTTTCCCTTGGTTTCCTCTTTTTCACTCTACACTCACAGTGAAGAACAGTTAGTTAACATGAAAGGGGTTTATATATTCTTAAGGCTGCAAATTACGCATTTGACTAAAAAAAACCAAGATAAGTCTTTGTCTTTTTAATTTCCTTTAAAAAGGTGATAAATGGGAATTGTTGCAGACATCAGCCAATTAGATAAATAATGCATTGTGTGAAGGAATCTTCTTCAAACAAAGCAATATTCACATTTTCAGCAGTTATTTGAGATTTTGATAGGAAATGGAAAAGAAGTAACAGGAAATCAGGAGGCAGTGGATAATGCCTCCTTTTAAAAATGTGCCAAAAAATGTCAGTGTGACCTTAGTAAAAATGCAGGCATAATAGTGGGAAAAAAATGCCTAAACATAAAAAAAAATGAGCACTGTCAAATATGAAAGCTGTAAGAAAAGGGGAAAATAAAGACAACTAAACATTAAATTATTATCTTTGTATTCACTGTCGATATATTTTAACACATTGCAATTTTGTATCGTTACGCTATTTGATTTGCAACGAGAAATTAAAGGTGATATCAATGCCTTGAAAAATCACTGAACATGCTTTAAGAAGGAAATATTCAAGATCCCCTAAGTTTTAATTACAGTCAACAGTTTGCCATAAAATTATGTTTGACAGACAGAAAGTGGAAGCATCACCAATATTAGTATCATCTCAAAAAATCTGTATAAGTAGTTAGCTGGAAATATGTCTGTAGGGCAATAATGTATAAAATACAGCAACTATTCAGGGAGGAGAAAATTTTTTTGTTATGCAATATTCTCCTCAGTGTACGAAGTGACAGCTCAGGAATACTTGTTCTGTAATTGTTACCTTTTTGGCAGGTTATAATTTTCTTCTGAAGCTGAAGGCACAAATCGTTGAGATGGTCAGCTTGCCAGTACTTAAGAAACACTTTTCGGACTCCTATCTAGAATACAAACAGCAGGGAAACCTTCACCATCAACAATAAGGGCCAAAACAATGACAGGCAAACATCAATAGTACATATATAATCCAGCTAAGGGTTGAGATGAGATCTGCAATTCAAGAATGGTACAATGCCAAAACTTGTACAGAGAGGTATTATCACTGGGTTGAATAAAAGGTGTATTTGGAAAGGACGAGCAAGCTGTCAGACACACAGTCCCCCTTCAGTTCCAAAAACATTCAGAACAAATACTACAATCTTCAAGTTAAATATAGGTTGAAAAAAAAAAAAGCATTCTGAATGTAATTATGCTAATGTGTTAGACAATGTAATAGAAAATAAGATTTAGCTTTTATAAAGCAGGGGGATGCAGGCAAGGAGAAAGGTGGCAAGCCATAAACCCACATGGAGCAGAAAACGGTAACAGACAGCTGCCATCTGTGGAACAGGAAGAATTTAGCCCAAGTTTGAGGGTGGGAGAAACTCACTGCCATCAGTGAGAATGATTCCGAATGTGCAGTAAAATCATAAATCCTAGTTCCCAGCCTTGCCTGCTGAAGATGTTCTGCAGGTCTCCTTTTAGAATCAAGCCTAAGCAGTCAGAGACAGATGGACCCATTTGTGAAAAATAATCTCCTACGTATTGATTGAGTGTATGAGCTTGTTCTGGTGCTGACTAGTTGCTTGGTTTAACTCATCTAGCTCTTGAGGGCCTTAATAACAACCATTAGATGCTCTTCCTCCTTTACAGAAAAATTTAGCTAGTTAGACCAAAAGAAAACACCTTCCTTTTGATATCTTGTGAACGTGCTGAAACAATCCTTAAAAATTCTTTTCTGTATAATCTTCAAAAGCATTCCTTTCTAATAGCCTTAAAAAAAAAACAAACCACCACACATAAGCAAGCTACTTTACAAACAGTAAGTAACTAAAAAAATTGAATAAATAATGTTTTTTTTTAATACCATTTTCTTCTCAGGAATTCTGTAGAAGAAACTTTCCTTCACTCCTTAGAAATAAAAGGACCAGTACCAGGGAACTGTGCTATCCTGTGAAGATTATAGCTTCTGTCTAGCTATTAATTTTGTACAGCTAATAGGCATACTGATTAATTAATACAAGTCTGGCTGAAATTGCAGAAATTCATTCTAACTCTTGTTTGTCTGCAGCTCACAAGCTCATTCTCTTCTTATTGCACCATCCTGCTCCACTGTTGTTTTTTTTAGTATAGATCTGGGACACAGCTATCAGCAGGGAGATTGTCACAACTTTTCAACTAATTGGCTTTAATCCAAACACTATTGTCAGATGTGCATCACTGGTAGTGATGAACTACAGAAAGCCAGGACATATATGCCATGTCTAAACTCCATTAATAAAATTCAGAAATGACTGGGGCACATTTTTGTCCCTTGGCTTCCCTTCTCTACTCTAGAGAGAAATTATTTTGAATCAAATGTTTTAAAACAAGTCTCTCATTCTGAAGTTTGAGCTGACAGACAATGGTGGTGCAACTGTTAGCCTTTTAGTAAAAATCAGATGCACTCAAATGGCAAAATTGGAATGCTTTCTAAATTTTTTTCTGCTAGAATCTCTTTTCCCTATAAAATAGGCCTTTTTGTGTTATTGCAAAGTATGTGAAGGCAAGGTGGTAAAAACCACATTTTACTTGTCTTGCCATTGTAGAAACTCATAGATAGGGAATAGGCTTTCTTTGCATGGTGGAAAATGCCTGGAACAGCTATTTTAGAAAACTGTGCAGTTACAGAAATACTAGTATAACTTAGCTATTCCAGAGCAGGTCCTCTATTCAGACCATCTGTTCTGGTATAATCCTTCTGCTTACAAATTGGAGTTATTATTCCAGAACAATATTGCCTTTTCCTAGATTCTGTTTCTACAATGGTAGCTACCCTGGTAAAATGTTGTCTTTATATTTGCTTAATAGAGTATCTTGAGTGATGCCTTCCAATTTTGAACTTCATATTCATCTGAGGCAATCTCACTGAGATTTCATTGTGCTCTCATACTCTGCTCTCAAGGACATACTCTCATTCTCATTTTCTTGACTGGTGACTTCCAACAAAAACTTTTCATTTTTCTTCCTGTGCTTTCAAAATTCTCTCTTTGCCTGGTTGTCTTAGTACTCTGACTTCCTTCTTCATCCATCATCTGTTCTGGAATCTGCTTCTTTCCCAGGGCTTGCTAAATTTCCTTAGGAATCTTTCCTTTTGTCCCCACTTCTTTTCCTCCTTATTTCATCAGAAAGTTCTGAGAAAAAGAGGTCAACCATTTTCTGCTTCAGTTTAAATTTGCTTCTCTTTTAGACATCTAATCTTGTATCATGAACAAGCAAACTTTTAATATTTTCCAAGCAAACCAGTCAATTGTCTCTTCTCTTCCCATCAAGTATTCTATTTTCATGCCTTCAACTTTCTTCCAGGATACCAGAACTCCACCTTGACTCTTCCTACCACATCCACTCTGTCACTAAACCCTGCAAATTCTGTAATAATTGCTCATCAAACAACTATATTTTCCATCCATCTTGTCGAAACACATATTGAACTTTGCTTATTATTAGCTTTGGCTACTAAACGCTCCATCTTCTTGCTCATATCACAGAATTCTTCTATAAGAATAACTGAATTATTATTCATACGGTTAACTGTAATTAAATTATCATGTAGTTATTATAATTATCATTTGTATCTGAGTAGCTTTCAGACAACCAAAGCCTGGATACAAATACTTAATAAAATCATACTCTTCTATTCTGATTTCTCTTTATACTCCACGTTTCCTTTCCACAAACCCTCTACATCACATTGGAGCCTTTTATTCCCCCTCTGTCTCAGGCCTATGCCAATTCATCTGCTTTTTTTTTTCCTCCATTCCTCAAAATGCTTGTTTCTCCCCTTACTTCCTCACTGGAAGTCTCTCAAACGTTCCTCTCTACTAGGGCAATATTATGGTATTTTGACAGTAGAAAAGAGGATGAAAAGTTACATTTTGAAACCTTAAAAAAGCCCTGATTACCAGCAATGCCCGTGGCAAAATTAACAACCCCATTCTCGATTAGTCTCATAAGTAACACACTGGGCACATCTAGGCTGTATTTCAAATGTGTAACTTAACTAAAGATTGAGTTGCAATTTATTTTGCAGTATGCAGTCACAAAATCACAGTCAAGATAATTGCTCAAGCTTATGGTGAGTTTAGCTACAATTGTCTGTCTTTGTAGAGTCACAGAGCTAGCTAGGGGACATGCAAAGCATTAGCTCTCTTTTCTCCTTTCCTACACCCTAGAAACAATATAAATGGAAATATTGTGGCATCACTTATGCTATGAACTTCATTAGTAGAAGGCTGCTATAATTTTAAAGTGAATGACGAAATACAAAATGTCAATACAAATTCATTTTTACATTTGGATAAAAGCTATTTATAGATTTTACCTCATACGCCAGGTCTATTAAGAGCAGAGCCCTAGACAGAAGCATGTATAGAAGAAACTGCTATAACACATTTGATTATGTTAGTATGGCTGGAGATGTGTGTTGCTCAGTCTTTGAACTAAATCTGATATGCTCTAAAGCTGGCCAAGAACAAGCTAGTCTCACTGCCCTCTGTACAGTTCTGGTGTTCAGTGAAAGTAATAATGCTGAAAAATGTTGGAATTTCATGTGCCAGATATCAAAACATATTTCATAGTTTTTGAGGCTGCCACCTGTCTTCATTCTGGTCTTTTCTCTAATCACAAAACGTTTCCTGCTTGCCTAGGGGAAAAAAAGGTTAAAATGTTCTTCCACTAAAGCATTCACTTTTCAATACTTTCTGGACTACAAAGTGCTCTCATCTGAGTCTGAAATTTTAATGTCATTCAGACTTCTGTAAAAGTAAACCATCTGTGAATTACAGTCACAGTTATTTTAATTAGAAAAGCATTAGGGTTTTAAATGTTATTTTTCAAAATGACACATTTTTTAAAGATTAAGTAAAATTGTCATTGATGACTACCAAAGCTTCAATTACAGGCCTCTTTTTTTTTTCCTGGGAGGAAGGAGAAAGGATGGGAGGGAGCTGTTCTTTCTCTCTTTCTTCTTCTTTTTTTTTTTTTTTTTTTTTTTTTTTTTTTTAAAAAAAGGGGTGAGAAAGGATGGGAGGGAGCTGTTCTTTCTCTCTTTCTTCTTCTTTTTTTTTTTTTTCTTTTTTTTTTTTATTTTACAGAAAAGGTGTAGGATGTAGAAGTACAGACATTCAAAACTATGGAATGGATGCTGAGATGGTGTGTAGGTGGCATGGAGGCAGTATTAGCTCATACTTAATAGGTGTCAAGGGAATCTGTAAAGCTGTTCTTTAGTTTAAAAAAGGCAATTTGTGGGAGTGCTGTGTGTTTCTGGCAGTACTTTCAAAATAGCTACCTACAAAAGACAGAGAACTATAATCTAATGATATTTTACACAATGACACACATTTTCACAGTGCATTAATGAAATATAGAAAAAAGCCTTAAAACTATTGTAAAATGTGTCTTTTTGCAGTGTACATGTCTGCAAAAATATTATAACGACAAACACATTTACAGGGTACTGATCTTTTACAAGGACTGAAATGTTATTTTTAAAGCCTTACTCTCTCTGCTTTATTTGTTAGCTTTTCTTCACACATTTTAAGACTCCTCCTTTGTCTCTGGAAAGCTAGTGACCTTGCATCATGGTACATAATTAATAAATCTACAGTTTAGCATAGCTTATGTATGGCCTTCATATAAAGTGTGTGAATAGTCCAGTATTCATGCAAGTGACATTAAGCACTTATGTAAGCACTTGTCAGGAGCTGGACTTTAGGGAGAAAAACTGTCATTCAGCTCTCTGAGAAAGGGCAGAAAAATGGTTGTTCCTTTTCCAAAAACTGCACAAACATCACAGCTCCGACAAAAAGGACTGCCCTACAGGAAAGGAAGTGATCAGGAAATAGAAGATGTATGTAAGAAATAC